TACTGAACAGATGTTTTGTCTTAGTTTGGGACTCTTCAGCAGTACGCGCCCATCACCCCACCACAGATCTAACCCAGGGACCTTCGAGTTACAAGTCAAATTGGTAGACCATTCAGCCGCTGGGATGGAATTCAATAGCCCATCAATTATAACTTCTGCAAACTCGTGATATACAAGTGCGACACCAGCCAATGTCACTATTAACTCGATTCGGTGGACCCCTCTGGTCACGACTTCCCAATAAAACTCTGTTATTATTATTATTGTATCCTTTAATTCCTAGACGAACATAGGCTTCAGCTGTCGTTTTCTGCTATCACTGCTCAAATTCTGCCCACACGTTTTCATCTCCTCTTCACATGACCTCCTCCAAGTCACCCCACCCTCGCACTGACGACCAACTCGCCGCTTCCCTTTCGGGTTCCACTCGAGCAATGGCTTGTCTAGTGATGTCACTTGATGCATTGTTTCCTCAGGGTATGACCAGCCAATCCATCTCCATTTCTTCCTGCCTATTTGTTTCACAATCGGTTCCTGCTGGGTTGGTTCGCTCATTGCCAGAGGTCTCTGTTGCTGATCTTTTCTGGCCGGCCATCTGATCTTGAGTATTGAGCGAAGACAACTGTTAATGAAGGTTTGTAGTTTGTTTGCTCTGTAGTTATATTAATATGGTGATGACTTCATTCAGCCAATCTGCAACTACTTTCACAACTCGAACGACTAGATATGAGTATGCCTAACTTCTCTCTTCTAACCTGACAGAGTACTCTAGATAACATTGTTCACATTTAAAGATAAATTACTCAACAAGTGCGTAGTCCGGGTTCGACCCCGGCGACGCACTCCTTTACCTCGCTAAGCCAGTAATAAAAGCTGGTAAGGAGGAAAGGTTGGGCATGAGGCTAGCAACCCCATCCTGTAAAAATAAACACTGCTACAGAACTCAAGCCTTGCTTGAAGCCCTATGTTCCACTGAGGAACGTGAAGGAATAAAAAAAAACTCAACAACACACTCACACACACACCGGAAGATGTTAGTCAGTCAAATACACAGATTAGACAGAAAGTGTCTATAATAATTAGCAATGATAATTACCAGTAGAATGTTTCAATAGACAAGAATTATTCAGCTCTCATGTGTAAAATAATCTGTGCCTGTGTACACAACACAAATAAACCACCACAATTAATTTTCGTTTCCTCTCTCAACTGAAATCTAAATGTTGAAACAATAACCATGCCAAATAAAGAGGCTGGAATGAATCATACCAAGAATATTTTTAAAAAAAATTCATTTCTACATGTTATCCGTGGTGGTAATGGTAAATGAGTGTTGGGATAATCACTGGATGTATATCAGGAGACGAAGACAGACACAGAGAAAAAGAGAGAGAATATCAGAAGTAATCGTAAGTTAACAAAAATACAAGTTGTCGCAATACTTCTCAATGTGTGCATAATGTACTCGATAGCTGTGCACGCGCGCCTACAGAACGGGGATACAGCTGTAGACAGACAGACAGAAGGAAATGAAAGACAAGAGAAGACTGCGACGACACGGGTTGATGGAAGACAGGAGAGAAAGAAGGAATAGGGAAAAGCAGAATAGATACATTATGAGGAAGGAAAGAAAAGCCATTGAAGTGTAACGACTATATGGAAGAGTCTAATACAAAGTAATATATTATCATTATTATTATTACTTCAAGTAAGGAGGAGAAGTAGGTGAAAGCAATTAACCTGGTTGTATTATTAATCAGGTCAAAAAACATTAGAACGAAACCATGGAAGATGAAAGGAAAGAAAAGGAAATCGTTGTCTTTTAAGCTTTAATAATCAACTAGAAACAACAAAGTAAGGTAAATAACAATTAGTAATGAACTGAAATTGTATAAACTCATAGTAACCATAGGATTTCAATGGTAAAACAAAAAAAACAGGTGGATAGATAGAGAAACACAAACACGCATGCATGCAGGCACGCAAACAAACAGACAAGTACACTATTTGTTCAGGGATGAGAATAAAACAGATAAGTAAATAAATTATCGGTCAACAAAGAAGAGGGCGGAATAAACAAATAAGCAACAGTAAGAACGCAGAAAGGCAGGGAGGGAGAGAGAAATCACTGAAATGTTCACGTGTATTATATAAATAGTTAAGTCATAACTTGATTCTCTTTCATGATAATAAGAATACTGTCTTTATTTCCCCGTACAAAATAAGTAGTATAGGTTAGAGAGAAGAAAAAGCGGTTGCTATGACCATTCAAGAAAAAAGAACTTTAGAGACAGACAGGACTCCAGGTGAACATAGAGAAGACGGAAGTGATGAAGATAACCAACCAACTATAAATACAAACAGTACCAATCACTATCGACGGGAGAGATTTGACAGAGGTTACCTCCTTCATTTATCTAGGAAGCACGGTTTCAACCACGGCCGGAGGAACGGATGAAGATGTCAAAGCTGGCCAGGCAGAGTCTGAAAGTCACGATACACCTTCATCAATCTGAAACCAGTTTGGAAATCTTCTGCACTCAACCTGCATAAACACCAAGATTCGGATTTTCAACACAAATGTGAAGTTAGTCACTGCTTCTATATGGGTCAGAAACATAGCACGCGCTTCACGGAAAGAATTTCCAACAAGTGACAAACTTTTATCAACAGCTGTCTTCTCTGGCTCTATACTGAAGATCAAATGGCCGGCCGGCCAGCAACAAACCAACCAAGAGCTGATTCACATAAAGATGATGGTTGAGGAGGCCGTCGAATGACATGGCAATGCAGGCCATTGCTCGAGTGGAATCCTCATAGGAAACGACGCGTTGGGAGTGGGTCTGAGGGTGACATGGAGGAGATCGTGTGAGGAGGAGATGAGAGATTATGGTCAATCGTGAACCCAGCTGAAGAGGACGGCAGAAAATAGAAGAAGCCCTATGTTCCACTCGGAACCCAAGGGAATAATAAACAAATAAATAAAAAGAGCCAGACTGTCATTTTTAGATGGCAGAAGTCAAGTAGGAGGCACTCATTGCTCACCAGAAAAGCGTATTCACAGATTTTTATGGGAAACTTATACTCCCCTAAGAAACCTGAAAACAGATTACTTAATGTCATCTGGTAATCCATTCATGTATACGTAAGAAACCAAATAAATGACATTCTATAACCATCCTTTTCTTATTCCCTCTTCTACCCTTTAGTTTCTTTTTCCAAATTTTTACATCTAACTAGGATTATTCAAGTCGACTAAAGTGCAACACATGAACACTTGATATTTTGTACTATTTATCATTATTTATATATGAAATTATAATTTACCTTAATGCATTTTTCAGGGTAAATTTATAGACATGTGTACTATATTTATAGGGAATTGAAAGAATATGTAATACTATCAAAATAGTAATCAATAACTATTGGTTTGCTTTAAGGACAACACGATGATAATAATAATAATAAAGCTTCGTTATTTCAGTAATAGTAAAGCTTGGTTTACACGTATTGAATTTAAAGTATGTTAAATGACTGTTGGTGAATAAGTCACGAAGATGCGAACTCAAATAATTGTCATTAGTAGAACGTTTTCACTATCCGACAGGGGATGATGGAAACTCGTACACTTCAGAAATGTCCAGGGATAAATTATTTAGCACATTCTTTTAGCCTAGAAAGCGGTAATTAACACACTTCGTTGAGAAGCTTCGTATATTACGACGGAATATTCAATGCCCATATTCCAAATGATTTTTCCATTGATTTTAACCTGTACTTATCTCAAAATGATATCGAACAAGAGAGAAAAGTTTGCCATGTCGACAAAATGAGTACAATTTTCAAATATTCATTACTATCATCGACCAACCAACACTATTTTATTTGTCATGATTGGCTGATGTCTATAGTTTCATCTGTTTCCCTGGAATAATCATACTGTGAAAAACAATAAATAACCCAGTGGGTAGTAGGGAGACAGCAAATATATACGCTGTAGGACATACTGATTGACATGGAGAAATTTATATTCCCGAAAATTCACTATAATATTTAACACGTAAGATAGAACGCCAGCATCTGTAGTCAAATACAGCTAGCCTTTTCATGTCTTCCACGTTCAATGACCATTTCTCACAGCCATAAAGAAGGACAGAGCGAACTGCTGCGCAGTACACACGTCCTTTGATCGATACCCGGATATCACATCTACACCAGAGGCGGCGAGCAGTCCATTGGGGTTGATGCAACTTCCCAAATAAGTGAAGTGGCCAACACGCTCTACTACTTCACTCCGTATCTTTAAGCTACGAGGTAGTACAGTACAGTCCTGAAGCATCACCTTACATTTCACAGGAGCGAACTGCATGGCAAACATCCGAAGATTTCTGCTCAGGGTGTTCAGAAAACTGTTCAGCGTCAGCACATAGTCAGGTTTTGTTACGATAGAATTAAAACAGTTCCTTCTAAACATTAACTTGTTTGAAGTCGAAATAAAACGGATGGGATATAGAGTTTTTGAGGTTACGCTTTATTCATAAGGAATAAGAATTTGTTTCCCTTGTTTCAATTTTCGTCCTTGAAAATTAGTAGGATCTGTCTGCGCAGATGGTTATGTTAATGATAAAATATCAATTATTTTATGTTCACGTGCCAACAACACCGAAAATGAAACAGAGGATAGTGATTCTCTGCAGCCTGGCATAACACTTTGATTTCGAAGATAAGAGAGATTTTTTTTAAAATCATGGTTGGTGTAGATTATTTATGTGGATAGCTAATCAACACTTCGTCCCACAGTATGTTAAGGAAATAAATATTGTTTGGGATTACTTTCACATGTGTGTGCCAAAAAAAAATACTTTTCCCACCTACACATACAGACAACCTTTTTTTCTAGCATTACTTTGGAACGAAAACATACCTTTAAAAAATATCAACTGATTAATTTAGAAGTAGTTCAATACTTGATAGGGTTGGGAGGGTGAAACACAACTTACCTAGCTCTAAAAGGCTGAAAATCGGTTGCATTCTTCCAAACACTACTAGACGAGAATGAAGCGTCAGGAAATTTATCGGCTGAATTAATTAAAGGATCTGCACACTGTGGATCTTGACCTGGACCACGACGAATAACTATAGAAATAAAAAAATAACAACAGAGAACCAATTAAGGTATTGGCAACTAAGTAAAAAACAGTGAGATATGTAAAATAGATTCATACAATGAATGAGAATTAATGGTAATGAACCTTGAATAAGTGATGTACAGTTTTAACCTGTGATTTATCACCTGATTAAATCCTTTGAGGAGGTCATGAGATTCCAACCAAGTAGACAAATGGAGTTCGCCTTCAAGTACTGAGAGTGTTTAACGTTTTATTTTAACTAGTATACAACTGAGCAAGCTTGCACTCAATGTTTGAGCTTCTTTTGTACTGGTTATCGTGCACATCCTCAGAATCCCAAGGTGTAAGCAGTCACTAGCCGGATGTAATCTCTCAATTTCCCTGAATACAATAATAACCTTTAATCTACCAACTATACCGTTCTGGAGAGTTATCAGTGCTTACAGATGAAGTAAGTTATTAGTTTTGGTAAGAGTGGTCAATTTTTTAAAAAAGCAATAACAAATCCAACTTCTAAAAGAACGGTTAAAGAAACAGTTTTATAGATGAGTCACACAATATTCTAGACAATAATTTGAACTGTTGTCTTGTGTTAATATGGAAGAATTACTTATTCAATTCAAAATACAGTGAAAAATGCTTCTGAAAAAAAACGAATACTTTCTTGATGATTACAAGTGTCAGGATACAGGATGTCAAGAGTGCTGAAACCAAAGGAGTTTCTCATATCACAATTTAGTCACATCGGTGGCTCAATGGTATGATGCTCGCCAGCTACACAGGTGGTCTGGGTTCGACTCCCCAGTCGACGCACTCCTAAACTTCCTCCGGTTTACTAGCCGACAGTAAGTCCGCCAAGGGGGGTAGGGTGGGCGTGAAGGTAGTAACTCAACTCTGTAAAAACAACATCACCGTTACTGAGATCTCAACAGATAGATGTGCCTGGCTCAAATCTTAAGCACCATATTTTATAATCCTCAGTCAATACATTTTGTGATGAAAAAATCATTGGATGTAAAAAGAAACATTAGAAATCCTCTCTGTTCTACTCTCTTGTCCCTCTCCAGTAAATACTGAAAACTGTGACTTGAACAAAAATATTAACCACAAAGTGAATGACATCCACATTTCTTTTAACCTAATTACCGAAATACACACCAGGAACATGTAAAAGGAAGGAGGCAAAAGTGATAGATAGGGATAGAGAGAGGAAAGATTTCTGATGACCGTCATATCTCACTGCTTAATATAAATCATATTTTATTTTTGAAAATTGAAATACTTTTATTGTTGCTAACCTACCTTCACACAGATTAACACACTACTGGACCAATCAATTAGCTAACTACTAGCCAAGTAGTTGAATAATTAAACAATTATAAATACCAAAGTGTAACTCTTTTGTGAAAGGTTTGTTATCACTGACCAGATAAACACATTCACACACACACACACACAAATCGATGTAAAGAGAGAAAAACAGACGACAAGAGATGGCAGCTGTGGTAGGCATAGTCTTATAAAGATAATATATATATACATATATCTTGCTTTCAGCTCTACCTGCCATCTTATCAATGTATTAATTTAAAAGTACAAATGGTACATAGGCAGGATAGATGAATAGTAGTAATTAATTCTCAGGTGTGTTTTATAAAACTACTTTATTATTTATTAATGAGAGAGAAAAAACAAAAACATAAACTACGTCATAAAACAAACTGATGTATCTATCTGTCCTATTCTGAGATTTAATTTTCACTAGCCACATACAGATTCGTTTGTTAGTCTGTAAACCACACCACTACGCCTTGAAGAAGAAGAAGAAAATACCAATCGGTCACTATAGCCTTATTAGATATGGTTGGATAGAAATCCGTATGTCAGTCGTTCGAAGTCCAGAGTCTAAATGTGAGTCACAGATGTATTCGATTATGAATGATGGGGGAGAAATGTTGTAGAAAGACAGTGAAGTGTACACCAGTCAAAAATAAAAGTGGGGTCATCTCTCTACACTGCCCATATTTTGATCAAAAAGTAAACAGGATTGTGTTGAAAGACCTTTACTTTTGTGGGCGAAGTACAAGAATAGAGTCCCAGGAGTGCGAACGCTCAAATGACCTTGAACGCTTGCCAGTCGTTGGTTGAGGAAACTTACCATTATTCTAGCGCGAAAATGAACGCTGTTCATGAGCTCAGATGCAAATTTCATCCAGATCACGTTTTCCAGTACTGCTTAGATAATGGATTGATAGGACGTACTCGGATATGTAGTTGTGGTGCTTCCATGAACCTCCAGTCGTATACCCAGGTCACTGACGGATATGTATTCAGATGTACACAGTGTAGGAAGCGAATAAGTGTGCGTACTGGTAAGTGACACTCGGTTAATTGTCTTCTAGGAACTTTCTTTGAAAAGTCGAAACTGTCTTTGACCAATATCCTGTTTCTGTCCCATTACTGGGTTTTAAAGTCCGGGGTGCGATCAACTGCGGCTCAAACAGATAATACGTTGACGTCTACTGTGCAGTGGTTCCAGTTTTGTCGAGATTTAGACTCTTGGAAAATGAATAGTATTACTCAGGTGTTGGGAGGAGTCGGTGTAGTCGTCCATATCGATGAAACCGTTCTTATAAAGAAGTACAATCGCGGACGAGCTAGAGCTAACAACGTTTGGGTTCTGGGAATTTACGACACCCAGATTCGCAAAGGATTCATCGAACTTATTCCAGATAGGAGTGCTGATACACTCCTCCCTATTATTCAGAGGCTCGTCTTACCAGGCACCACCATTCACACGGATGAATGGGCAGGATATAACCGATTATCGCAACTGGGATATATACATCATCGAGTCAACCATTCGGATGACTTCGTCGACCCCAGAACCGGTACTCATACCAATTCAATCGAAGGTTTCTGGGGAAGACTAAAAAATAGAATCAGAGCTATCAACGGATCTCAAAACCAAGTTATTTTCAGTCATCTGGATGAATATATGTATAGAAATTGGTTTAATTTAAAAACTGAAACCCCTCATCATAATTGGGAGATTTTTTATCTCATATTAGACAAAAGTACCCTGTTTAATGTTTTTTTTCATGCTTTTTTATGTAAATATACGTAAAATTTTATGCAAAAATCCTCATTTTTCCTGATTGGTCGGCTCAAGGTCACTCGTGCGTTCGCATCCCTTGGGACTCTATTGTAGAACTTTGCCCTTTTGTGATTAGTTGTGGATGGGGTTCAGAAGGGAAAAGTTCCGTTTCTACTCCTGTAAGTTGTCTATATCCCAGTCTAACCGAGTATTAATTTAGTTAAACATGATCCTTACAGCAATAACACAATAAAAGCATAGAACAGCCAACCGCATTATTATTTGAAATCCACTTCAATGAATTTATGGGCACACATATTATATTACTAGGCTGTTCAAATATATTTATAAGTATGTACAAATTCTAGTTCACTGGTAATCCTCTGCATTTTCGAATGACTTAACACCATATCTAATATCATCGGTCAATTTACAATCGATGTGTAGGCTAAATATTACACGGTACTGATGGTTACCGGGTTCAAAAATTATTCTCTACTTATCAAGATGCGAGTAGTCAACAACATTAAAGAGGGTGGTGGTGGTGTTGGCATGTCTTACACTTCAACGACTACTCCCCAGTGTCACTACTTTATGTTATGCATCAACTTGTAGCATTCCTTATTCAAGTAATGTTTGTTTTCGCCTTTAACAACAATGGAAGTGAATTAACAATAAAGGAATGATTTGCTTATCTGTTTACATATTTATGTTCCTAAGTGTGTGTGTGTGTGCGTGCGTGTGTATGTGTGCAATCTTGACCACTACAATTAATCAAATATGACAAGTATGACAAAGAGGAGGGAGTTTTTTTGACAAGTTTTTTTCTGGAAAATAATACTTCTACTTTAATTTTATTGTTAATATAATTAGTATACCATCTGTTGATGCTACTAACACTGCTACTATTCACTCACTATTACTCTGTCAGTTCTACTATTCTGATGGTGGACATCTGTCAAACCAATACTCGCTTTATTGGTTACCCCCTCCCCACTCCAACTGCTTCTTTCTCTCTCTCTCTCCTCTATGTGTATGTATTCAATCCCCCTCCCCGCCCAACACATTGTTTTCCTTCTCTCACTTTCTTAATCCCATCAAAATGTGATAGGTTTATTTAAACTGAACGTAAGTAGTAAATTGCTACATGCTTGTTTTCGTTAGTATATGAGTTTGACCCTCAACCCCCTCCAGGCCATCGCGCCTCTTTCAAGAGTGTTGCACAGTATTATTTATTACAGAGCTTATTCTTCGTCTTCTTCTTCTTACTGTCACAAAATAACAACACTGAAGAATTGTACGAGACCTAATGATGATTATGTAGCTGTCTCCAAAATAATAATAATAATAACAATAATAGTAAGGAAAAGAAAAACAGTAATACTGTATATATCTGTATACTAAAATCAATATCAGCAACATAAGCATGGAAAGTTAGTTAGTTAGTTATAGGCGAGAATATGATGACTAGTACACTGCTGTCTAATCGAAAAGTCTAGCTGATTGAACAGGGAAACAATTAATTAATTGATAAACACTGATGATGTGCAAAAGAAAAAGGGTGATAAATTAATTGGCCAGGGAGGGGGTGGGTGTTGGTTAAGGAAGAAGAAGAGACTAGAATAGCTGAAGTGCAATCCAGTAGCAAAAGACATCACAATTAGTAGTATGTGATAGACGAAGTATTAAAGCGGTCGAACAGACCACCGATTGGCTGGCCGGTTGACTGGCTGGCTGACTAGCTGACTCCACCATATATCCACCTGTGACGAATAGTCATACACACTGTCTAGGTTAAGTGAAAGAAAGTATAAACAATGCATCAAGTTGAATCAGTCAACCAATACATATTTTGAAGTGTTCACAGCTAAATTATATTTTTTTATTTCAAAGTGAACGGAAAAATATTT